AATGAACCTTCTATGTATAAGAGGGCTTCTATAGGTAAGTCAGTGACCCTGTAAATGCACATCCATATATGGAAGAAGGACGAGAGATCCTACTTTACGCGAGTAACTTGTAGCTAACAGGTGTTTGGGTAGTAAATAATAGCTAAGAACATTGTCTCTGAAGAAACTGTGTCACGATTATTCACCTTTTTACGTTATTACTCGTGTGATTAATCGTCGTATGTTTGCTCTTTCTTCATGTATTTTCCAGCTTTAGGCGAGCGAAAGATGAGGATATATACTCTGATTTTGTCGAAAACGTAACTGAGAAATTGATTTCTTTTAATATCATAATTTAAAGTAGGAAGACTATAAATAAAAATGATATGCGAGGAAGAACTGTCTAATTTCAGAAAACATAAAAAAACATTAATTAATAGGAAGGTTTTTAAACCTAAAAATTAAAATGAATTAAAATGAATTAAGGACGGAAACTTAAAAAACACAGGTGAGTATGGGAATAAAATAATCCCCTCGAAACTATTGAAAGCTATATACTACATCTTCTTAAATGTGAGCTTCTTAAATAAAATGACTCTTTTTGTTGTATAAATGTTACTGATAACTGAATCTAAAAGTTGCTGTTTTTCTGAGATACTTCGCTCGCTTTGGAAGGTATTATACAAAATATAAATTTACAAAAATCAACAAGAAAGAGCAGAGCTCTTCCGAAATAGTCATTTACACTGACTCGACAGAACGACAAGTCAATGTGATTGTGACAATAACCTTATTCAAACATACGCTACCTTCTTTTTTTCAATTAAAGACTATATCACTTATGAATAAATTATATACACAATATCAAAACAAAACTGTCAAAAGAAAAATGGATAGAAAATTAATCAAAGAAATTTAAAAAAAAGTTGCTTGCTGATAATAATTGCTATGCTATTCATATAACTCTACAGCGGTACTCACCGCTTTGATTTCGCGGTTCTGTCATGATAAATGCAGCGACAAAGGGAACCTCTATGGCTGTGTATAACACAAATATCATGATCAACCAGTCCCACGTTATCTTGAATAAACCATAGTGTAGGATGATGCGATTTCGCATTTGAGGCGGAATTTGGAGCTTGTATCGTTTATATCTCGTCTGCCATCGCTTGAAGGCCGCCATGACCTGTGGAATAAAAGTCACTTTTAAGATGTGTTTTGCAAAGACATGCGTTACTATTAAGGTTGCGCAAAGTAAAAACAAAATGTTTTGAGTTCGTAGTTTCTGTCGACCAGAAAACCCTGAAGGTTTGAGTTCAGTCACAGGCTAATCTACCATCAAACTTACATTATTGCATTAAATGATTTTGTGATTAAAAATAATATATAAGTATCTAAGTTACATGAAAAACGAAAACAGGCATAACTAGAATTCAGGACAAAGGAATTCTATGAAAACCACACTTATGTGATAGTTTTTCCTAATAAAAGATTGTTATTATTATTACAAATACAAGTCGCAATATAACGGATGAAATGAAAGTCTTTAAAACGAGATTTGATTCACTCCTCACTCACCCTTTGCCAAAGAAATGCTTCAAGTTCTTCCAAAAACACTTAAATCTAAAAACTGTTTTTTCACTCAACGCTTAAGAGGTTTGATAGTTCTAGGCAGGACGTCTAAGGGACAAAGTCACCCTACTGGTCAGATTAACTGTCAGTCAGCAAACACAAGGTTAGAACAATGAGTAATTGTACCGGTCGATATTTAACCTGGAGTATAAACATATCTTCTGCAACACTTTCTCAATGACCTTTTCAAATTATGACAGCATTAATTATCATGGCTGTCTGAGTAGCTGACTATTTTCTTGAAATAATGATTTTCGAGAGACAGAAAGTGCTCCTGAGAAAGGCCGATATTACACAAAAGAAATGACAAACGGAAGGAYYGAATGCAAATTCAACTCACTAAACTGAAGCAAAACCAAACACCTTAAAACATAAAACAAATACGATATGATCTGAATCGCATGCAAATCTACGCATTATTTGCCTAAGTGATGATATAATTATTTTACCAGTATATAATTATTGCGCAATAATATCCCGAATAGAATGCTTGTAAGGCTTCTATTCGCCGAAGTTCGCATTACTGAAGCAATCTTTAAAAAAAACATAATTCCCTACAATAAATATTGGAAAAGTATATAGTACATTGCACTTATATTTATTTAGTTATTTATATTTTAAAGGATTGGTTTTCACCTGCTATTAAAATTAATCCTCCCTTTTAACGCTGAAAGTTTAAACGTTTCAATTTAATTATTTCGGGCTTGTTGGCGTAAACGAATGCAAATTTCCGAAAATAATACCATTCTATTCGTAGCTATTGTTCTTGAAGCTGTGCGTGGATTTCCGTGCGCAAGATGAGAGAGCAATTGCGTTCGAACTTGAATTTCGCAGCTTTGTATATGTGTTAAGAGACACTCAGTAGAGACTTTTTTTGGACTGTAACTTTATTTGTTCCAACCACAAGATTTGCTTTTCATTCTAGAATTCATAAATTTTATTTACTTTTTTCTTCTTCTGAGGACTGTTAAAAAATTAATATGGGGTTTTGTAGTGAAAATGTAAACAGCTTTAGTATTACTTGTAATGTTATTTTGTTGTTGTTGTTGTAGTTCTTATCGCTATATACTGATACTCTTTGGAACGATCTCTCAGAAGTTTTAATCCATTTTTTTCCTTTCTTTCTCTCTTTCTTTTTCCTTTCTTATTACTATCTTTCTCCATTTCTTTTTTTCCTATTTCTCCTTCTTTTTTTATATTTTGGTGATCAGTATGATAAATAAGCAAAATCGACAAGAATTCTGAATGATCAGCCGTTTGATGGCATTAAGCTTCTTTGTTGAAGAAATATTGTCGAAATGTAGTGCAATCTTACGTCTGTATCTGGAGCTCAGACACTAAAGGTGTGACAACGTACCACTCAAATAATTCTAATAGCGCAATATAGTGTAGATCAAACAAGAGAAACAAACAAATTCGTATAATTCAGTTCAATATTCCTCTATCTAATTACGCAAAGGTTTTTTATGGTCTTAGCATTCGTACACTAATTGTAAAGATTACCTAAAGAAATTGAAATAATAAATAAAAAAATGTATTTCAAAAAAAGAAGATAAACAAATAAAAACTGTTCAACATAAGCGATTTTTTAACTTTATGATTAATTCTTTTGAAATAAAATTTACGGTTTTCATATGATATTTATTATTTTTATTTTTAGCGATAAGGATTATATCCCAATGGATCCATTCAAAGGCCATTAGCTGCACAGGTGTAATAGGCCGTAAGGAGAGTATCACGTACGCTACCATTAAACATAATAGGGATATAGTACTTCCATCAGGTGACTCCATAGCAATTAGCACTGTATTGTCGAGCACATGTGAGTATTATAGTTAAGAATATTTTCATTAGATAAGGGAAACATACGGATGTTTTAGATTTTTTAAGGAATATGAGATCTATATCGCGAATGACCATAGTTTACTTTTCAAAATATCAGTATACGTTCCACATTTTCTCTGGTTTCGAGTAAACGATAATGTAATATAGGCCATATTGCATTAATAAAAAGAAAAAGAAAAGAAAAAAATAAACAAAGAAAAAAAAGAAGAAAAAAAAAATATGTATGATATTCGAATATGTGTAAACGTAGCCTTATTCTAGAAGGACATATCTTGGTCAATTCATGACACCGAATCTCAGTCTTTTAAGTTTCAAACCAAGGCTGCCGGTATTACACCAAAGAACACTTACGCCGAAGTCAAAAAGGTCTCCCAGGCTGTTAAAATGGATCTAAATGCTCTCATGCAAAATTTGAACATTTGTTTCTAATGGGTATCGTTCACAGACATGCTTAGAAGAGTCAGGGCGTAGCCTATGAATTAGAGCCACTTAAATTCATCGAAAAGGCTGTGAACAAGGCCGTAAAAGATTATCCATGACACTGATACTCACATAAGAAGAAAGGAACGAATCTATCTTGACTTGAATGAACCAGAAAGAAATGATTTCTACACTTTCAAGAGTCTTGAGTCCAAGTCAAAATACAACAACAACAACAACAACAACAACAACAACAACAACAACAACAACAGCAGCAGCAACAGCAACAACAACAACAACAACAACATTCAGGATTGCAAACGATATATCCATCAAAACATTAGTGACAATATTTTTTATTGTATAATTATCTATGAAATATCTATATATCTCTCTTTCAAACATTTAACCGCCCACACATGTAATATGGTCTATCATCCTACAATCTAATCCGTGAAATATTAGTACATACTGCACTGTGTCTTAATTTCTTATTCTAAAGGCCTAGTCCAGACAATGACCGAATTGATTGTGTAGACCGGACCCGCAATGAAAAAAAATTGCGGGTAAAAAATCTTACAGTCTCTTTTAATTGTTTTCTTTTGTTTAATCAACACTATGTAGTAGCACAATTTGATTATTAGGGTTTCACACATGTATTATTTGTAATAATTTCAATACCACACAAAAATATGCTTAGATATACGGTTTGGATACAGAGACATTTTGTTATCTCATAGATCGGGCCAGCAAATATCTGAGGCCCCTTGATTTGATAATTCTGACTCGATATTCCTTTTCGTTTTATATTTTTTTCCCATCTACGGGACGTACTATAAAATAAACTGGACATTTTTTTAAATCTCACCTTTCAATCTCTAGAAAATATAGTGTATACGCTGACCTGATAGTTTTTCTTTATGTTGAATAGACGGGACGTATTATATGCTGACTAGCTGAAATAGCTCCAAGCTTCACATCGATAAAATATTGTTTCCTAGGGAAGAGTTTACAGCTACATCACCATGTTCAGCAACTAAAATTAGGTCAGACATATCAATTTCGTATCAAAAATGAGAAATTTCATCGGAAATGAACGTTTATATCACATTACAATGACATTACTGTACCTTACTAAAATAGCTTAAACGCTACGGACGTTTTCCGTTGTCTTTTCGACCTCCAGGATATTAATTGTTCTGAGCCATGAAAGTTTCATTACTCCTCCTAGGACAGTATTAGTAAGTACTTGAGGGCACTGTACTAAGGCACTATTTCAAGAGAGAAATTGAAAGAAGTTTCCGACTATCAACTTTTGGACACTCAATTCTGATTGGACCAGCAAAGTAACTGGACAAAATAATCGATTTGTAGATACTTAAAAAACCCTGAATGCTTAATTATATGTAAAACATAATTTCACAGGATCATAGTAAACAATTTAAAGGTATTGCATAACTATTTAAGAAAAAAGAAATATTTTCGACAGGCTTTTGGTTTTACTGAAGGTCGCCTTCTCTTCTTCTTTTTCTTCTTCAGTAAGTATGCTAGAATATTAATAACTATTCATTGAAACGACCGGCGATTATTTTGAGAATACTTTAAATGACTGGAACACCAGGGTGACTGTAATAAATCCCCGAGAAGTGTACGACAGATGACTCTAATAGTCTCAAGAAGTGTGAACGTGGGATGGCGGTGGACCTATGCAGGCCACAAAGTTGTCAACATGCATCCATAATTAACATGCTACCCAGCAGATACAAAAGAAAAAATTCCATAATCGTTGATAGTCATTATATTTTGTGAACCAAGTTTCCATTACCTGCGGTTTCGATTGAGACTATATGTCTTTAAAGTAGCTTGCCAATGAGTTACACTGATTATTGTTATTATTTTCTTAATGTTGACTGAAAACTGAAAAACGAACACGAAATCCTCTTGAACTTGAGTAGGTTGGGAGAAATTCACAGCATCAAATCCTAAGCTAATATATATTTCATATCATTTTTCGAATTGTCATGCTTTCTTTTTCTTATTTTTGCAGCTTTTCGCGGTTCATTTCTCTTCTTCTGCCTTCCTCTTTTTTCTTCGGTTTTTAGATAACAATATATCTTTGCTGCAATAACTACCGACCATTTTATTTGTGGAAGAAAGATGTATCAGTTTATGTTATAAATAAAATATACTTTCAATAACATATTGTGTGTTTAGTAATGCAGATATAGAAAAATGTATATACTTAGTAAGATACTGAAGATATATTTTTTCCTTGCGGTGGGTTCCCTACAGAGAAATGCGCTGACACATTCACGTCGCAGACAGTTTTTATCGCGAATTTGAACATTTCCATTGTTTTCTATCTAAGACTGATCTAATGAATTATTCCTATGGCTGATCACACTTTAATTCATATGTACTGTTTATCAAATTACTGCTAAGAAAGCTTACTTTACAATGCTTTAAATTTCCAATTTCAAACGTAGAAGCCAAAATAATCTCTTTTATTGCCTGAAGTTACTTGCTAAAAAACTCATTTGCTTATTGATGAAAAGAAGAGGAAAGAAAAAAAAAAAAAAACAATTCGTCCAGAGATAGTAAGATATTTTGTGTTCATTATAAGGAAAATGACAAAAAATGTGAGAAATTTATATTGAATAATAATTTTTATATTTAGAAGTGAGGAATAAAGTATATATAAAAAGAAACAATGTCAGAAAAAAAACAAGTGATTTGTTTGTCACAACTTGGGCGGACCGCATTCCAACCTCATTTCAAACCGAGAGTTCGATTACCATTTCAATCCAATAACATATGTTAGAATTAGTAATACAACACTAACAATTTTTGAATTTTTTGGGGGTCCTGGAGTTGAACTTTTCCGTTATTTAAATAAAAGTTATACAGATAGACTATGGCTGAACTATCAGATCAAAATATCAGACAAAACACGCACTTAGGTGGTATTGAGCACAGCGGTATAGAGACCTAAGCTTGCACATCACATATTAACTTTCGTCTCCAAACAACAACACCAGATGGGATTAGTATTCTAGTAGTTTCTTACTTGTGTTTTAATGTCTTTAGACTCCTCAATCCCACCACCGATTATTCTCATTATGCTTTTGAGTCGCTCATAATCCTGATAAACAAATCTTTAAACTTGTGTATGGCTTGTTTTGCTCACACGTTCGTTTCGTGAGTGGCGCCAACATAGTGCAGTTGTCATAAAGAGCTCGGGGCACAAGTTCGGGGCAATTTTCGCGCGTCATCAAGCTATTGTCATCGATGAAGTCACTTCCCATGGGTCATTGCAGATGTGACTCAGTATCCTCAATAGCAGCTTTAGAAACATTGCCTCCAAAATGTCTACACAAAGCTAATTACAAATGAAACCAGTTTTTACCTGCGTGGTCAGTATGGTATAGATCAAAATAATGAACGGCTGTTTGTGACGTTTTAAGGAAATTGCCGTTTGTATCACCGTTGAAAACATAATGAGCTAAATAGAATTCCCCTGATATTTTTCACTGCTGATCAATACAACCTGACAAGATGTCTCTGGTGGCTCAGGTCTGCACGCACAAAATGATTATTGTTATTACTAAAGCTAATAAAAAACAAGAGATATAGAGATATACAAACTTACGCTGTTGCGGCTCCGTAGTTGTCATGGCTTATCATGGACTAAGCGGACGCCTTTCTCTTAACTTAAGTGCAGTCATCAGTATTTAAGAGATTAGTAAAACAGTCTTATGCTTTGCACACAAATTGAAAGTAATACACGCTGCCGGCAAGAAGATTCTAAAACAGTTTCAGTGTGACAGTTACATTACAACTGTCAATTTATACCACCGACGCTTGTTATACAAAACCGACACGTCTTTTTGTTTCAGTGAATAATCAAGGCATTAAAAGATTGTATGTTTTAAGTTTTCGAGAGAAAAGAGGGAAGAAAAGCACTTAAAAAACAACAGCAAAACAAGTAAAACGTACCACCGAACGTTTCACAACTGTATAGCATTTCCAACTCATGCTCAACAAGCTTTTAGCTTAGTCAATATAAAAGCATCCAGCATCAATATTAATAACTTTTAAGTAAATACATCTTTCACTGTTAGCTGATATTCAGAAATTGTTTCAATTAATTCAAATAAAAATCGGACAACTTGACCTGTTCTTGATATTCAGTAATCTAGTTAATCAGAGTATGCCAGTGACCGCTTGTAATTTTTTTTACAGATCACCAGCCAAAGTAATTCGTCCTAAGAGACTACTTTGATCAGCTCTTTCGATTCTTAATCTTGCAAAAAGAAATATATATTCTTTGATTACATGAGCAAAATTAATAAAGACTAAACCAACATTCATATTATAACTTGCCCGAAATGTAACTACGCAATACGATGGGACTATGATGTTATTAAGTGACAGGCTGAGACAGCTGAACCGGGCTATAAAAAGAAAAAGAAAGCAAACAGAATCCAAATAATGATATGAACAGCAAAATGAAAATAGTAACAAATCTATTTTTAAACCAGAAGATTTAATACAAAAACAGTTTGTTTTTAATTTCTTTGTCATTACCGCGACATCTATGATCTGTCAGTATCTCTTTTTCTTTAACCTATGTTTGAGTTCAGTGGTATTTTTAATTTTTAATGAAAGTTTGCTTAGAATATGATTAATGGTTAATAATCCATGTTTGACCAAATATGGTAGGTCGATGTTTTAGCCACATTCTATCATATACAAAAGTTGCTCGTTTTTTCGTTTACATGGTCAAGAATGCAGTATATTAATTAGTATAAGCCACACCTTGTTTTAACGAATCTGGCTATTTTCAAAACCYCATATAATAGACRTACCATCGKTTTACATAAAATTCTAAATAACGACAGAGCCCGCATATCATCGTGAACACGTTATTAATTGCCTGTTAAAATACACACGTGCTAAGAACAAGGGCGCACCTATAGGGTGCACATCGTAAAAAAACAAGCTGTCAATTGATAGTCTTCAACCATTCGCTTGAGATTCAAAAAATAAAAGACCGGCGGCCATGTTGGAGGAATCAACAATAGATACTAATGCGAAACCCTTTGTTGAAGTTTCGCTGTGAGGTATGAAAAGGAAGAATTGGGACACAACACCATATGAGTACACCCCAAAAAAACCCTTTCATTCAAACATATTTTTTGGGGGGGGAGGGGGGGGGGTTGAGTTTATGATCGTGCTTGTCTTTTGTTTACGTTGTATACTTTACTTATAAAACTTATTAATAATGCATAAGCTATTGCTCCAATAAGGGCTGACCGTTTAATCAGGTGATTGACCTTGTAAATCTGATACAACCACTAGTGTTGTATCAGATTTACAACACGGTCGTCACCATTGAGACAACCCAACACTAGCAAAGGTCTCAGTTTTAGTGTCGCATCATAGACCTTCACTAGGTTTTGAAGCAATCAAAGACGGATAACAGAACTCGCTTATGCAACAGATGGCTTGCTTTCCATGTGGGATGGATAATTATTCAAAAGGTTCAGTGTTGCAGTAAATTGCGCATGCTTAATAGGGACTAAACTCAGCAGTTACCTTATTTGTCATTTTTCGTCATTTATCTCACTGTAATTCATGTTAATTTGTGTTGGAGTTTTATAAGTCGTTTACAACATTCGCGTCCGTGTTGTATGGGAATTACAATCTCTCGCCTGCGGCTCGAGATTGTAATTCCCATACAACACGGCCGCTCATGTTGTAAACTATACTTGATCGTAATTATTTCTCAAAAGTGTGATCATCATTGTTACATTCTTAGATAATAGATAACATGTTAGTTTATATCAAAGGACAGAGACACACGCGCCGTTTTATATTTCTTAAACACAATTAATTACGTAAACTATATAAAACGGCGCGTGTTTCTCTGTCCTCTGATATAAAAGTACGTCCGTCAGCCAATCTGAGCGCACGTTATATATCAAAAATTATAATCACTAATATAGTTCCTCATACATCCCATCCCCCTCAAAAAAATAAGAGTACTGAAAAATCTTATTATAACAGTCCTTTGATTTGTTGCTAAGCTGGGTAATTTGTCGCTAGTCGCAAAGTGGTGAGTCACTAAGGTAGAGACAGGGGAGGAGTAAGGGCACGGAGGGGGATTTCTTCCTATCTAACGATCGCTCCCATACCCCTCTTCCATGATCTCCGCCACGTACTGAAACGTATCTTTATCTGAGAGACAACAGACTGGGGCCAATCAAGGAATTGTTTATGGTAGTTGTTCCTTATATATACTCAATTGCAACTATAAGACGTCTTACACCGTCACTATGAAGTCATAATAATTGGTTGTTTATAATTCGAAATATTGGAAATATCCTTGACTAAAGTACTAATTGAATTTGATCAAGTGTCAAGGGTCCTTTTGGAAGAATGGTACCAAGTTCTGATAGAATCACATACACGTTTATAATGGCGGAAAAAAAATCGATGGGAGACTGGGCTCCAAACACTAAAACGAGGCCACAAAGCCCAGCTTTTTTTCATGACAAAGATTAATATGACGTCTCAAGCGAATTCTCGAACAAATTCAAACCCTCTAACTAAAAACAATATCTCAAGAGCTTCCCTTAATAACGAGAAGTGCTAGTGAACTCAGAAACTACTGTTTTGCGATTCTGGCTCGAGTGTCGGGGCGATCCATTGAAGTTAATATAATTTGCAATATAAATTCTTATTTGTGCTTTTAACAATTCGACCATATCATCATTTTTCTGCGGTAATACAGTACCTATCGAAACCTGATTTAATAACTCCTTTAGTATTGCACTACTGACTATTTTTGGTTAGTTTCATTTTTATTTTCTGGAAGACTTATCTATTGTTTGCCCATTGTTTTCTTTACACATTCTGATCGTTACATCTTTTCTGAAATCCATCGAAAACGTGAGATGCATTTAATTTTCGAAGAATGACTTTGTTTTACGTTACTACGGCAACATTAACTGAGTTAAGAATGGCATCAGTCAAAATATCAATTTATGCTTTCTAAATGAAAATACGACTTATGGCCAATATACATATTTTTTTTATTAGAACAAGGTATAAATTGGTTTAACTTTTAACTGAGGAGCAGTTAAATGAATTCCAAAATTTTTAGTTGATCACTATAGTCGACGATGTTATGCATCAGTCAATTGCATTCCCGGGAGGGCCGGGAATTAACACATCCATAAAACAGAATAGTCGACTTTATATATTTTCGTTTAGTATCCATACAAAAACAAGAATTTCAGACGAGGCTCCGGGGCAACACAGCCTGATAATCTTGATTTATTCTTTTATTTCCCAAACGCTAGGTCTGCATTTCTTTTGTGCATGATAACTAACCGACATATCTAAAGTCGGCTATTACAAGTCACATATCTAGTGCATGGGTTGGTTGTCAATTGATCGAATCTGCATCGTATTCGTATTGAAACATAACAGTATCACAAGTCTAACCCGACACTCGCAGAGTGTTTACTCGGGCTGCAGTATAAAGAATTCACATGCTCGCGATATTCTATCTCCTGACGCTTGGGCGAATGTTATTTAAAACGTGTCACGCAGGTCTGCGGCGTTTTAGAGACCTCCGTGATCGAGAACATGCAATTT